TGCTGCATCCGTCAGAACAACCAGTAATCAGAAGGAGTAATGTCCGGCGAATACGGCGGGTGCGGTAAAATATCCCACTTGAGCGTTTCCAAATAATTTTTTACGACTTTTGCGACATAAGGCCGAGCGTTATCATGCAGAAGAATAACTTTGTCATGTCTTTGCTCGTATTCCGGCCGTTTTTCTCGTAATGCACGGCTCAAATGAATCAACTCCCAATGATTCTGCAAGCTCCTCTTGCGTTTGACTCGGATCTTCATCGAGTAATGCCTCCAATTCTTTGTCTTCGAATTTTTTTGGCTGTCCAGAGCGAGGCTTGTCTTCAACGCTGAAATCACCATTCTTAAAACGTCGAAACCATCCTCTACATGATTTATCAGTTGAAGCATTGTCACCATAAACTTCTACAAGCATTCAATGCGCTTCAGCTGCACTTTTCTTCCAATTAAAGCAGAAAACTAAAACCTCCCGCAAATGCTGCTTAGTTAATACAAAATTTGACATATTCAACACAGTAAAAAACAGGGATTTTGTATGAAACTCAAAGCGATATAAACTGAATATTATTGACAGATGTCTAACCTCTCTGAAACTACCGAAATCATCTGTCACTATGAAACATTCATAACAGCCAGAGCCATCTTTTGAAAACGGACCGAACTAATTTGTACTCCCAATATTATTCAGTATTATTCAAATTTAATATTATTTAAATATCATTTAATAAAAAAATAACCTGGGACTCATGTTTTGAAAGATAAAGTCCTTTCACGTGCAAATTTACTCATTATTGAGTTCATAGATTTATTTTGAACTATTTAGTTTTCCTTGCTTAGTTTCTGGTTAGTAACTGACTAATATTTTTCTGTCCAAAGTTTCTGAACAGTTATTGTCTAATAAATCCTAGCACAAAAACTGACTGAAGTTTCTGACTAGCGAACAGTTTTTCTTGGATATTATTTTACTTAGGGACGATGTCTCTGTAGACGTCGTTGTGCTGCGCAAAGTCGCGGGCCCCGTTGCGTTTCGCGACGAGAAGAGCGTACGAATCGTCATCGAGCAATCGCTGTCGATGCAACCGTGTTATTGCATTTTATTATAGACGGTGTCTATTGCTTTAATCGATTGTTGGCAGGAGAGAACAAGCGGTCGACGCGATTGTAATTTGTGGCCTCGCGCGCGTGAGCGACACCAGGCCCGACATTACCCCACGCAACAATGCTGGCGACAATGTCGCAATGATTATTCTGTTATATGCGCACGAGCATGCTCTTGCAATTATGTCCCCGTGGAAGGCGACGAGCTCGAGTCGCGGACGTCGCGGACGGGCTGCGTGAAATACACCGAAGTTCCAGTGCATACGCGGCGGCCACTGCGACGCGCGAGATCGCTCGAGGACAAATGAGCGAATGTATTATTGATGGCACGGTCAGCTACATTGCTCGGATTATACAGCGATTAATGTCAATGAAATTTTGATTTATCGTAGCTAGAAGTTCTTGCTCGCCTTCCCCGAGCTAGCGAGACGCCAGGCGTTGCGTTATTCAGTCTCCACGGCGGATTCTCGTTCTCAGTGAGACTCGCGATCGCGTGAGGATCATCTGCGCACTCCCGTATCTTCGCTCTATCGGCCGAAGACTTAGAGCACACATCCTTTGACCATAGTAGGTGGAACAAGAATGGTTCTCCGATCGTGCACACAGGAGACCATAAATCAGACCGCGAACTCGCCACAGCGAGCATTCCATCGACAGCTCGGCGAGCCAGCAACCAGGACCCACGAGATCCCACATTAAAACCGTGGCTACCCTCCGTCGAAGAAATCGCCAACCATTTTCGGACGTTGGACGAACTCCGACGGCGTTACCATGTAGGGACGCTGTAAACTCGCGAGGCGGATGTCGCTTGTCGTCCGAATCGTAGGGGCGCCGGGGCTAGTTTGGTTCACTTGTTTTTAAGTAATTTTTTACATGCAACTTACAAATAAAATGCACGCTGCAAAGCAATTTTTCATGAGCCACATGTTTCTACTGCACAAAAATCATTTGACTCAATGGCAAAATTAATTCATTTTCATCGATAAAAGATATGAAATGACTACTACGGAGAGAATATCAGTTTCTTTTTATAAAAATTCTTTACAATTTTATTGTGTTTTCAGCAGTCCAGAAATAGACTGTCCATCTTGCTAAGAAGCAAACAGTAAATTTCTCTAGAAATACAGTAAATTTTTTAATAGCAAATTTCAATTCCTGAAACATAAGTAGAGATCGAAAAATAGTGAATTACGATAGAATGTCGTTCTATTCCTCGATTAGAAAAACCGTGTGTGTGTGTAATCATTTTTACTATAAAACTTTCCCCGTATACATTGCCCCACGTGACAACTAGTCCCGGTCTCTTTTATCTCATGTTCACAACAAGCTCATATTCGCAACCCGCCATTCATACAAAGATTTTCATCTTCGTAACTTCGATATTCGCCAAGATCTTCATCCACGTAATTTCGATACTCGCCGCGAAAACTTCGTGCGTGAAATTCGCGCGAAAGTGTCGTCGAGCGAACAAAACGAAAAAGTCCAAGTCGCACTCTCGTCAGTCGACGCGGCGGGCAAGAAGCCCTCGAGGAAAAGCGGCAAAGTGAAAATTGAAGTAGCCGTTTGGCGAATTGTGGACTTCGTGCCGCTTCGTCGCGCTCGTTTTTCCTCCGCAAACGTTGACATTCGTCATGCGCTCCCGCGTGGATCCGGTATAGGGCTTTCAAAGTCGTATCGGCAATGAGGCGAGCACATTCTCTTTCTCTCTCTCTCTCTCTTTCTCTCTCCACGACCTTACCTCGCTGAATTGCCTTCCCCTTTAGCGGCACGAACTTTTTGCGGGATTGCCACGGAGATGCAAGGTACCGCACATCTCAGCCTAGTTTGGACACGCTAACCTCGCCGCATACAAATTTCCTTCTAGCCCGTTGTTCTCCTTACCGAGATCGCCTCCTTCTCCCTTTAGCGTTTTTCCGGCGCGGCATTCCGCCCCGACCGTCTCTCGCGCTAATGAGTCGTCGTCGCCCGCGCTAGGACGAGTTAACACGATCTCTCGATCGTTATGCAATATAAACGAGAAGGATAAAACTCACGGCGATCGTCTGGCGTAGTTTCATCAGACTGCATCGCTATTAATTTCTTCCTGCCGCGTAATAACACTGAAACCCGAGGGGTCTCCTGCGAAAGACGAAACGAAATAACGGGCGGTGCCTCTAAGTGCGCGAAATCGATACGGCCGGTAATTGACTTCAAGTCCTCGGGATGAGCGCGGAAAGCGCTCGCTCGAGCATATCGGTCGAGGATCACTCCGACATTCCGATCGCTAAAGATCACTCGCCGCGGCGATCTGCAGATTCGTTTTGCATATTTTGGCTAATTGCGGAGTGAATCGGATGAGTGCGCCTCGGCGAGCGAGTCAACCGAGAGAACCTGTCCGCGCGCTCGCGAAGTTCGCAGAAGATTTCACAAACGATGTCATCAACCACTCGAGGAGTTCGAGAATTCGCCACCGATTTAGCGAAAACGCGCGCTCCTCGATCACTTTTCATCTTGATTTCTCGACATCAACTGATAATAATTATTAATCATCTTCTTTTAACTCTTTGGAGACCAGTGATTTCACCGTGAGATTACTTATTAGAACCAAATCATAGCTTCAGGAATAGTGATCTCGCAACGAAACCGCTCAGATGGATGAACCATCATTATGCATGATGGTTCACACCACTGATTTTAATAACAGGAAATATAAATATAATAGGAAATATATAAAAAATAATAAGAAATAAAATAGGAAAATAAAAATTAATTTTAAAAGGAATGATTTCTTGGGTTATCATTTTAGACATATGACATGAATATTAGAATCCGAATTTTGAAGTACAATAAATTTAAAAGGCTCTGAGATTAAAAATAAAGAAATATTAAAGTTTTGTTTCGCTCTTATTGGCCCTTTAAGATCTTTCGAATTCTAAAGGTTCTTGCTTCAAAGTTAACTAGGTTTCCACGTTCCATCAAAAGAAATTTGTCGAAAATGATCGTGGGATTGTTTCTGGACTCGCGACAGAACGAAATATGTGTGAGATGCTCTCCTGTCACGCGTCCGACAGCAAATCCCCGCGAGGTAATCAACCTCGAGGTGTGCGGTAATCGAGTTTTGCGTCACTGTCATCACGGACAATGCCGCGACGGTAGGCCGCTAAAAGGGCGAATACCGTTTTGGTCGTGGCTGAATCCATCACGCGGGACCGCAATGAATCATTCGCGGCTGCGAACGAGAGCTATTGTTCGCGTAGCGAGCGGCGAGAGCGAGTGAACGAGCGTTCTGGAAAGCGTTCGGGAAGGCGCGACAGCGAAATGATAGTAATTTCATATGCCCACGTACCGTCGACACGGTGACATCGCGTAACGCATGATTAGCGCCGACGGTGGTTACGTCGCGATGCCATTACCAGCGGGCAAATTGAGTTTAATGTCGCGAACTGGGCGTTACAGCCTTGAGGCGTACGCGCTGGATGAAATTAGAGCTAGTCAGGCCGTATTTATCGAGTCCTTCGGCCTAGGACACTCGGTCCGGGGCGTTTCGTGTCGATGATCGTGTTGGCGTGACTGGCCACACAGAGCAATCCAGTAAAACGACAATGACTCTAATAAACGAGTCCTTAATCGCGTAATAGTCAAGATATAAGATAGAATTTGACAGATACGCCTGCAGTGTCATGCACGACACATTACTATACAACTATACAAACATACATACAAATGAATAAATGAATATATTATATGTAAATATAAGAAATGTATATTTATGGTCGGTGAAAGCGACTCAAGAGATAAATCCAAGAATTCAAGAAAAAATAGAAATTTATAAAGATAGAATTGAAACCAATTTCTCGTCTAATGTCTAATCGTAAGTGTCAAAATATTCTATTTTGTTAATTTTCTTGGAAAATTTGTTTGTAGAATGAGAACAATACGTTCGTTTTTGGAGCTAAGGGCGATACAAACTGCCTCCGTTCGATCGATCGGCTGTCCGCCGTGGAGCCTTTACCAAAGAACAGTAAGTCTGCGCTACTTTGCTCATAAATTTAGACTTCTCGATTGAAAGAAGCACTCTTCCGACGTTCCCGATTGCTTTACAGGAGCGACGAAGTCGTCGCATTTCACGGACTGGAGCGAATGGTCAGTGTGCGACCGGCATTGCACGCAGAATCGCGTCAAGAGATGTCGGTCGAGGAAAGGTTGCGGAACCACTGTACTTAGGGTAAATACGCGAAACGCCCAACTACATACATCGCGATATACCGCGAACGGTTTCTACGATTTTCCATTCACCGCTTATCTTGGCACAGGAAGAACGCGGTTGCGAGCACAATAGGGAGGGACGACGAAGACGGTGCAAGCAACGCCAACGTCGGGGGCATCGACGGAAGGACGAGAAGTTCCACGTCGTCCAAGTGAGTCGCGATGAGTGGCGAGCGATTTTCCAACTGCTGACACGCGACATATATCGCAGAGTATTCATAGATTCAGCTCTCTTACAAAGAAATCTAGTATTTTATTTTTCTTTTATAAAATGATATCTCTTTTACGCCGAAAATGTCTTCACTGAGAGAAAAAATACTTGAAAATTTATTTGTAGGATATAGAATCTATTTTACAAGAATAAACTTTATACTTTGCAAATAAATTTTCAAGTTTTCTTTTCAATGTACCTTAAATTTCTCGAAGTAAAATCTCTCTCTTTCTCTCACTGAAAACGAGTGAAGATTCACTCGAAGCGATATAATAAAAATACCTGCCACTCGAAATTCAAAAATATTCACTCAAGAGTGAATGTTTTCGTTCCAATGACAGTAGAATAAACAGATTTAAATTTCTTCGATTTCGAATTTCGGAATAATCAGAGCGATTCATTCTTCACGAATGAAGAATACTCCACTGTCATCGCACACTTTTTGAGTGAAATTTCACTCGCAAAAATTTAGAGAGCGTCTAGAGAGAAAGCATCTTATCTGCAAAATGATTAAATTTACAAAGATCCCGCGACGCGTGTACGCGCTCTCAGCAGGTACCGAAGGAAGCGGAGCCTAGGCAAGGTAGACGCAAGGGTAAGGACATCAAGGAGCACTCCGGCGGGTATTACGGAAAATGGAGCAAGTGGTCGCCGTGCACAAGATTGTGCACTACTCAACGTCACAGGTATTCACACGAGTTCGCAGTTATGTAATTCACATCGAAACATTACACGCGTCCATTTGCCCGGATTAGATGGTGCAGAAAGCCCGGTATCTGCGGTCGCGACGTCATACGAGAGAGCGCTTACTGCTACGTCGAGGGTAGTTTCTGTCAGAAATGGATCCACCGGAAAATTCGCGGCAGCCACGAGGAGGACGGAGACGGTGAGTGAGTTACGCGCGAAGCGATCCAAATAATCTACCAAGCGCACTGATCGACACGTTGATTTTCCAGACTCCGTATTGGACGAGTTTGAGCTCAATCCCAACACCGTGGACGGTTTCGCCCCGGAGAAGAACCCGAACACTTGGAAATGCGGGGTGACGAACTCGCATAAAGGATCCCGATTGTCATACTTTACCCGAATCATCGGCGGCCGTCCGACAACGCCTGGGAGCTGGCCGTGGCAAGTGGCTGTGTTAAATCGATTCCGAGTACGTTTGAGTAGAATGCAAATTTTCAATTGATGCAAATGATGCAAAATTATGGTCTACGTCGACAGATCGATATGGCTTTGGGCTGTTTTTATCCTTTAAATATCTTGGAGTGAAATTCCACTCGAAAAATAGAGTGACAACAGAGTTACTCGGATTCTCAAATGACTCTTTTCATTTACATAAAATAAATTCTTCATTTTAAATCGTCGGACATTTTCATTTCAAGTTAAAGAATGAATCTAATTGCAACTGAAACAAAATTCCAAAACATTCACTTGCGTGAATTGAAAATTGACTTTACTGCACTGAGTTAATAAACATTTGTGACTCCGAGTAACAGAATTTTCACCATCACTTCGAGTGAGGCTTTACTTCAAAAAATTTGAAGAGTATAAACCTAACTTTCAGACATTCGCACTGTCTGGATCTACGCTGACTGAGTTTGTCTTTTCAGGAGGCCTTTTGCGGCGGAACGCTGGTGTCCCCAAAGTGGGTACTGACCGCAGCGCATTGCATCAGGAAACGTCTGTACGTGCGCATCGGGGAGCACGATTTAACAGTCAAAGAAGGCACAGAATTGGAGCTTAGGGTACGCGTCACCGCGGTTACTAAAACACATTGAATAATTTCGATTAACTCTGTCGATTAACCCTGCGATTACATAGGTGGATTCCGTGACCATTCACCCCGAATACGACGCCGATACGGTCGACAACGACGTGGCTCTACTTCGTTTACCAATCACCCTGACCCCGTCCACGTCGAGGGGAATCGCGTGTTTGCCTGCACCAAAGCAACCCTTGCCTACGAACCATCTATGCACCATTATCGGCTGGGGCAAGTCTAGCGTGACAGATGATTTCGGAACGGATGTGCTCCACGAAGTCAGAGTAAGGGAATTTCGGCATGTACGATTGCGAAAGAAAGAAAAATAGAGAATCATCTTAAAAACAAATTTCAGAAAATCCGTTATGGCTACATCATAAGAACATTAAAGAACATCAAAAAGTTATATAAACTCTGAACATGCATAAATTTTACCCATTTTTACCCATTTTTATTCGTTCATAACTTCTGTAAAAATGATCAAAATTCAAGTTTTTTTTAATCAACGTACAAAACATCAAGAAATATGAATATATTAATGATTTTGCAATTTAATAAAGTTGAAAAAAAGTTATAATAAAAAAACAAAACATGTTTTTTAAAAACGGTATTTGGAAAGTTGTTCTGAGAGTAAATTTTAGTCATATTTATGGTTCTAGAGTTAACACGTTGAATGCAGAATGTGACTGGTGTCATAATACGACTGTGTCTCATTAAGTTTTGCATGAATAATTAATTGCATTAGAAAAGTCGGTTGTATGGCTAATAAGCCAAAGAAATCAGATAAGAAATATGGCTCTCGAGCCATATTTATTCACTCTATCTTTGGCAATTCAATTATCAGTTGGGTTTTTTGTGTACAAACAACGGAAATCAACGCAGCAATAAAAAATAATAGAAATATCAAATTTGATTTTAGGTTCCAATAGTGTCCCCCGAAACCTGTCGAGAGGTTTACGTAGACTACAGAATCACGGATAACATGTTCTGCGCCGGCTACCGCCGCGGCAAGATGGACTCGTGCGCAGGTGATAGCGGAGGACCTCTGCTCTGCAGAGATCCCCGGAAAATCGATCACCCGTGGACGATTTTTGGCATCACTAGTTTCGGTGAGGGTTGCGGCAAGCGCGGTAAATTCGGCATTTACGCTAGATTGCCCAATTATGTGCGCTGGATAACACGAGTGATGAAACAAGCGGACGAGTACACTTAGGGAGCACCACGAGTCAAGATTTCGGTTCTACATTAACTCTATAGGTTCCGACGAATTTGAGGTATCGATCTCGATGTACAACGTTATACAAGCTAAATCCGAGTCGAAATTTTGGATCTGCATTAATCCTGCAAATTCCGTCGAACTTGAAGGATCAATGGAGAATCTCGAGATGTGACAAAATACAGATTATTATTCTACCTTGACGCTGAATCTGATGCATTTATCTTAGAATTACTTGATATCCGATTATTTCAATCTTCTATCTGCATTTAATCTTCATTCCTAATTGTAACGAGCAATGTATTAATTGTATAACTTATTCAGCTGTAAATAGAGTGAGATAAGCAAATATTAAGCAATTTAATAAAGATTAAGGTGTGTGAGGATGAGTTAAAAGAAGCAACACATTTTAGTTTTTATAATCTTGTTGCTTTTTCTTTCGGCGATGAGTTTCGATGTGTTTGAAGCTTTTAAAGAGCTGAAGAAGCTGTAAAAATAAAGATAACAGAGTTATACGTCCAATAATGCTACTTACCGATAGAGATTTAAATCGAGATTCCGTATTATAACAAAATTGAGAAAGAAAAAGAAAACATTGACAGATGTAAACAAGATCGCATGCTCGCGGTCCAAGAAGCATTATTGGACTCAAAAATCGACACTTGATTCTAAGATCAGTATTCATAGCTGTAAATAATTTACTATTTTTGACTGAAAGCATAATTAATGATAAATTCGTACTCATTGAGCGTTATTCAGCGTTATTCGTTATTTGGATCAATGTGTCTTATACGAAATAATGTAAATGTAGCTAGTCGAAGATTAATAAAGCTTACTTATCAAATGATGACAGACTATGAATACCGGTCTAAATTTCGACTCGGGTATCTCCTTATCCTCGGTAATTTTGTCAAACGTCCGTTCAAATCGGAAACATGTATAATAAATGATTTGACATACTTGGAAACATATGTGTCGCTGCCTGTATCCTTTGTCCTTCCTGATACAACTTCTTGGCTCCCGACTGCTGCATCGTAGCACTTTGGATATACTCGTGCAACTCGTGACACTGATATTAGCACTGATACTCGCGTCGATACGATTCGATCGGAGAAACGCGTGTTAATTAACGCGACAAGAGACCGACTGAATGTTTCAATAGTCGACGAAATATTTTAATCAATCAACGGAAATTGCCGACTAACATACCGATACATGTATTACACGTGTGTACGCGTCACTCACCGGCTTATGACTTAATGTGACAACCGATCACGGAACAATACACAACGCGCGAGAGTATCAAAACAATCCCTCTCCCCTCCCCTACCAATACCTAATCGCCTAGCGCCCTAAACGGTCGACTGCTTACAACAATCAACAAGCTCTTGAAAAACATTCCAGACCTTTCAAAACACACTTGGCCTTCATGCATCGCGAATTCTTTCGTGTGTCACGATAGAACAGCCAACAGTCAGAATGCCAGGACAAAGGATGTTGGGTGATTATTTCCAAATATGCAAAAAATAATTTCAATTTTAACGGACGTTTCACGAATTCACCGAAAGAGAATAAAAAGATACCTTAGTCAAAACATAAAATCTACTCCAAAGCCAACATTCGTAATTCTCTCAGTTACTAAAGTGAAAAATAAAGATTAAGTGCAGATAAAATATCGAGACAATTTAACGTGTTAAAACGCTCTTGAACGAGTACGTTTCAAGCCTCAACACGGAAAAAACGGCAGTAGTAAATGTTTGTAACATCAAGGTAGAACAATAATTTATATGGTATCATCTCGAGGTTTTTTATTTTTGTTGATCTTCCAAAGTTTAACGGAATTCCGGTTCAACGCAGAACCGGAATCTTAACTAGGTATTCGACGAGAATAAATCGTGGATAAAAATAGAAGATCGATCTGTCATACTGAAAGTAAAAGTTTAAGAGGTTCTCTCAAAAAATTTAAAAGATTAAAGTCTATATCAATAATCGTTACTTGAAACTCCTTTCAAATGAGATACTCAGATTTGAGTTCAGACTTATGCTGTAATTTTAAGCAAATATACGAATAAATCGTGAAATCGTAAAGTCATAGCTTACAAAACAAAAAAAAATCGTAGATATTTATGAGTTATCATATAACATACAGTCTGCATAGAATTGCAGATCTACTCATGAGTTCTTACGAATCTTACGAAAACAAGTTACGAGTTTTACGATTTTGTCTAGAATTGCAGTATTAGAGGAGAGTTTTTCAGTTGAATCGCAATTACAGACATAATATATATCACAATATTTATATATATCACAAAATTTAATTGAAAAAACTTGGATCTAAATCAGAGGAAAAATCTAAATATCTCATATAAAGCAAATTTCAAGTGACGACTATCAATACAGTCCTAAATGTTTGAAAGCACTAAACGTAAGGCTAATTGCGCTGCGATCTGCCATTACATTTTGTTACGTTGTTACACGACACACTACATTCTCATCGGAGACAAGTTTGTAGCGTTTTGTGTAAGAGAGATCGAGGGGAATAAAGCACAATTTTTGCAAGAAATTAACTAATCGTGTTTGTCATACGTATACATGATTTGATTATCACTTATTTCTTTGCAGCAGATATTTGTTACACGCCGATTGATATTATTGATAATATAACCTCGTAAAGAGAAATGTTTATACAACCTTTATCCACTAAATCAAGTCAATACGGTGTGCTTCTAATATACATCTCTCTTTATCAATAGATCGATACAGTCGACTTACTTGGTAGATAAAATACAGTGCACAAGTTGAATATTTACTCTCGCGTGCGATGCACGACCGTACTCTCCTCTGGAAAGATAACAGTTAGATAAAGTACAAAAAAGCAAAAGGAAAACGCACGGTAAATAGGAAAATAAATTGGAGAATTCTTAATCGTAGTCTCGCAATCGACAGCAGAACTCTGTAGCTGGTGCTGCGGTCTAACATGGTGCTGCCATCTCCTGCAACCTTCAAGCGCAATGTGTATGTTGCAATCGCGTTGACCTCTTCCTTCGGGTGTACGGAACGTCGAGCGCGGGAGATCGCGCACGACGTTACACGATCACGAAAGAGCGAGACGCGAACGCAACGGTACCCAACGGTGCGGCATCCGGAATTTTAAGTGTGGTGAACGCCTTGAACGATGACTCGTGCTCGGGCTGAGTTAATTAAATTTGCACTTAGAGAAGTCCATCTCGGGATGCTGCTCCATAAATCTGGAAAATCGCCACGAATTAACGAAAGCCCGTCGACGCGCACGCGACAAATATCGACGCGCAGTGTAATCCCTACTTTTTGATAACGCCCTGCTTCTTCTGCTCGTCGGACGTCGGCAGTCCGAGCTCTTTCTGCCTCTGATCGTACATCATCTTCTCCACGAGACCTCTCGTCTCGATGTCGAGGTCGGACAGTTTGCTCGGTTCGGGGTTCACTTTCTTTGTGCTGATTTCCGGCTCGCTCGTTATCACGTGCGCCCACCATTGCATCTTATTCACCTGCGGACGACGGCAAATATCGTCTCGAAATAACGCTCTGGTTATCTACGTCCGACGCGCTTTCGAAGACCGATTATATGCAACATTTTCATTCGCACGCAATCAGAAAATAAAAAAGAACTCGAGTTGCAAAGCCTGCTATTTCCTGTAATCTTATATTCTAAGTGAAAACTTTGACTAAAAGAGTATATTCCTCTTTTTAATGAAGTGGATCATTAATTAGAAATCTATCTAAATATTATTCTAACTTTCTTCCTTTCGAATCAAGAGGAATATGTTACATAAAGCAGATTGCCTTAGAAGAAATTTCTATTGAGAACAGACTTGTACTGTAGATGAAAGATGAAATTCCTCTAACTTTAAGAATATTTTTCTTTTACTTCCCGAAGAATTCTTTGGGCGTTATAAGATATGGCATTACTCTAAGATTCAGATGATTCTGCCAATGTTAAATAATAAGCTTTAGTAGCAAAGATAGTTATACCATCCGATGACGGCCAGTTTCCGCCAGTTCTCAAGACAAATCTGTACTGTACTGTATATATCGCGCAATCTAAATCGTCATGGCGCGTATCGCAAATTAATCGCGACGTATTGAAATGTAAACAACCTGTTCCGTGAGACAAAATGTCGGGTAAAAGCCGCAACAAGAACAGCAATATCGCGAACTAATCTGTTTACACGATAATCAGACACGGCGGAATTAATTGGACCTTCGCTCAATTAAACGCCGTATTTCGCGCTCGTCCAGGGACACGTCAGTCCGGCGGATTCGTTCGCCGATCGATCGCGCGTATCTCGAATCTCCATCTGCGACTGGGCGATGTTAGAACCGTCGGAATCATCGTTCCGGCAAGGCCGCGGATCGGCGAGGCCGCGAAAAAGCACATTAACAACACACACACATACGTGCGTGCTCGCGCGTACACACACGCACACACAGCCATATGTATGCGTGTGCGTATGTGCCCACCGACTCACCTTTTCCAGATTAATCAGCAACACTTTCCCGTCCTCGATTACCCAAGTTGACTCCTCGAGTTTGACCTCGTGCGGGAAATCGCCGTCGAGGATCGGCGACTGGCCCTTCAGGCCGCAGCTCAGGTGCTTCTTCGCGATTGTCACTACCACATCCCTGGGTCGTACCGAAAAGTTCACCTTTAACGGTAACTTAATCTGTAACACAGGAAAACAGAGCGCAACGCGCGTTCGCTTAAGCCGGCCTTTTATCCTTACACTGTGAAAAAGAAATAGAAAAAGAAACTTTTATTTGCGGGATATAAAGTTTATTTCTGTGAAATAAAATATATATTTCACAAAAATAAATTTGAAGTATTTTTTTTCTCATTATACATTGAGAAGAAATCATTCGCTTCAAGTACTACTAGAGTTATCGACACCAGTATTGCAGTGTGCACAGAATACTTGGGAGGCCATTTGCGGGATATAAAATTTATTACCACAAAAATGAATTTCATGTCTCACAGATAAATTTTCAAATATCTTTTCTCTCAGAGTATCGTTTATGATGAAAATTTCACGCGGAAAGCTCGCATCAATTAATTAATTTATTTATTTACTCAACGGGAACAAGTTCCTTTTTTTTTAAGCAAGATAAACATTTATTTGAATGATGAATGGTGTTTAAGGTAGTGACACGCCAAAAAGCCACGCGAACCCGATGGACAATCGCGCTACGTACGCAACGAGGGACGCAGAGAGAATGGATGGCATGATCGATCGTTCGTTCGTTCGATCGATCGATCGATTCGATCGTGGCGATCAACGGCGAGGGTGAGAATCGTTCGCGGCGTTCTCCAGCGGTGTTTTGTCCTTCTGCGATTACGATCTCTCGCCGCGGTGGATCGTCGTCATCGTGATCCAATTCACCGCGACCTCGGCCACGGATTTCGGAAACGAAAAATCGCTATGACCTCAACGCGCAGTGAGGAGGGGAGGGAGGGGGAGAGGGAGAGGGCCTTGAACACTCGGGAGGATCGGGCGGCGGCGAGAGAATCTCTCGAACCCGCGCGAGGATGAAAGATGCATCGTAACGATTCGCGAGGCGAAATGGCTCGCGGCATTCCTGGGATACACCTCGTTAAGCACGAAGAGTGCTCGCTTTAATTGACGGCAGACATCCGCGGATCGGATCTCCCGACTTCGGGTCATTGCCAGTTCGGCCAGGTCAAGAGTAGTAATCGCTCGATCGCTCGATGTGAATGTTTGCCTTACGCGCGACGGCACTCTCGATCGTTTTTATTTCCATCCAGTCATCCGCGAGTCGATCGCGCGTCACCTGACGCGCGTTCGCCGTCGTCGAAATTGCGATCGCGTAGACACATGTCGCGTGACTGCCTTTAAGGCAGAATGCTGGGCATTGATCGATGAGAATTTTCTGCGATTCAAATAACTGGCAGGTCAATAGTCAAAATTCATCAATCCTCATGTATATCATCAGCGAGCAATTTTATCTCGATTGTGACGAAAATAATTATTAATCAAGTTTTAATATGATTAATAATTTATTTCACCAATTGATTAAATTATTCGTGGTTACATACATGATGATTGATTAATTTTGATTATTGACTCGTCGATTCAGGGGCAAGTTGCCTTGAAATCGTACCAATCTCGTATCTTATTAATTTCTTTATTATTATTGAATATGGAGGTATTTTTTACCATCTAATAGTAAAAAATGAGAAATAAAATGAATAATAATAAGGAATGTAAAGACAAAAAATGTTCAGATTGTGTATTATTTTAGAATAAATATTAAACATTAAAAGAAAAGTCACATATGCTTGGTGAGGTACGATTTAGGAAATCACTACAATTTCGATAAGTTTTTTAGTAAAACAAAAATCCATTAATTAATACCCAAGACTGCCTCAAAATAGGGTAAATTATTGGCCAAATTATTGGCATTTCCCGTGATCATTAATACTCTAAGTAGTTAAAACCTATATTAAAGATCATTACTTGAAACTTGTCCCATGTGAGATATTCAGATATGAATTTAGAATTGGATTTGAGCTTTTCAATTGAATCATATGATACACGTAACATTATATTTGCAATCGTGATTTCAGAAAAATTCGCATCTGGCTCTAAATTCAAATCTGAATATATCACCTGAGGCAAATTTCAAGTAACGACTATTAATGCAAGTCTTTTAAAACTGAGTGTCTCGTCTGAGACATGTTTCAAGTGACGACTATTGATACGACTCTAGAGAAGTCTGGTTCTCCTTGCAAACAGCATTACAGTTAAGTGTCTCGCTTCTACATTCTATGATTCCAAAAGAAATCTTCACAACTAAATGCCGCAAGAAGGAGCAGGTTTGTCTAGAGTGTCAATAACTAAAGAGGGAAACCAATAACCGGATGTCTTATCCTACGATCTCGCCGCAATTCCGAGTCGTTGATAAACAATCAGCTGTTCACAATCAGCAAACAATCGTATATCTTCCGCCTGAGCTGAGGATATTCGTTCCGGTTCGAGTTATGAAGTGGCCGCTAAAATTCATTAACATATTCGCATATATTCTCGTGATCAAGAGCGGTGTATTTATTTAGACTGTATATATATACGTGTTTATTTCTCGCGCGTGTGTATGTGTGTGTATCAGCATATCGTCTATATTTCAATTTCGATTCCTGCGGAAAGTACACACGTACACAGCACACACACGAGCCAACCGGCCAGGCGGCGAGAGCGTTTCTTGACATTATTACGCATGCAAATTCCGCTGCATTATCTTGAACCTTACCTCGAAATTCTTTTTCTAGTTTATATTATTCAAATGACATGGTAAGGTCTCCCGCGTATCTACATAATTGCTCGTAGCGACTTCTAAGATCGCGCTGACCGGACTGTCGGCGGCGTTTTGCCTTTTAAATGCCGCGACCGAGTCGATACGTTTCGGTCCGATCTCATTAGCGGTCGTTTCGACACACAGGCCGTGCGTTTACCGTATCATTCGCCGTCCACGCGAATTCTCCGGCGCTTGATATCTCATTCTAACCGCCTCGTCGTTATTTCGGCCCATAAGGGGAACAATAAAGCCGCGTCTCGCGTTACAGAGAGATCATTATCTTCTCGTGTGGTCGGACGTTCTTAGATTCCCAACATGACGGACGGGAACGAAGACGGTGGCGAAGACGAAGACGACGACGAAGAAGACGACGATGATGATGATGATGATGATGATGATGACGACAACGGTAGCGGCGTCGGAGCCGGGCGCACCGGTGCGTGGAAACGGATCATGGCTACCGACTTTACGCCCGGAGTTAACATAGTGGAATATCATTATAAAAGCGGCAGCGCGAGAGAAGAGGCGAGGAAGAAGACGGTCGTAGCATTTAAGGTCGCCGCCGGCTGTGCCGAGGTCTAGTCCGCGAGAGCCAAATAGACTGTGACGTGTGCGCTTTAATGATCTCGTCGGGATATAATAATGTTTAATGCCGAGCGAGCGGATACAACGATATTTGTTTGTGGCTCGGACCGGGGAGAGAGCTGTGCGGGTGCGGCGGCGGTAGCGGCAGGTTGACCGAATTCCGTAAAATTCCATTCTTTCGCGCGCGAGCGTGCACATTAATAACACGGTGCGTGTATATAAAATGACACATCGGCATTAAAAGCGCACCGCGCGCGACCGATCACTCATTACGGATTCACAGCCGATCCTCGCGTCTCCGGGAGGAGACTCCCGCAGCAGTGTTGAGCATCAGTCGATGAACATTTTCTTTGACCAAGATAATCGGTGGATCAATCATACAAATCATTCAGCCGTCATGTATGTGATCACGAGCAATTTAATCAATGGATGAAGTTAATCAAGTGCACAATCAATCGCGTCAAAGCTTGATTAAAAATTAAATCCATCAATCGATGAAATTATCTGTGACTTTGTACGTGACGGTTTATTTATTTCAACGATTGATACGCCGATTATTTTGATCAAAGAAAATTTTCATCCATCAATGCTGCTCGCCAGATAGACAGATGTGCGTAAGTTCGACAGCTTTACTCAACTTACTCGATTTGCAAAAGTTCCACCTCCTATGAGCGGTTCATATGACACTCATATTTCTCACACAGAATGATGAGATAGAAATGCGAAAAAAGTGATGAAAATTTGCTCAAAACAATGTGTCGTGTAAAATGTAACATAAAAATCCGAGTGTCACTTTTGAGTAAATCTGTAGTCACAAGTATAACACAGAAAATCTACATTATTGTACAATAAACTTAATAATTAATTCAGTACAGAGTACATTGACATCACAAACGCAATAAAAAAGTCAAGCAGTTTCCACCAGCACAGCGTGTTTCACGTCACGATATCGTGAGAATCCACACTGAGAGAAAAATTACCTTAAAATCAACAAATATTTCTTTGATGGATACCATTAACATATTTACTTAAATCTAAATTCTCATTATTTAAATCAAATATTGTTTACATGATTTAAGTAAACAATATTTGGTTTAAATAAAGAGAATTTAGATTTGTGAATAAATATGTTAATAGCATCAAAGAATTATTTGTTGATTTTAAGATAATTTTTACTTCAGTGTATCTGGGTCGCTTATTCGGCGAAATAAAACACGGACGGACGGACCGTTCACGTTGGACCCGCGGAGTTAGGCGCGCGACATTCTTCTCTCTCCAGAGATCTCTCTCTTAATTTATAATGTATTTAATAGCTCTGGGGTAAACGCATAATTTGTTGTGTGCAAGGACGTTCCCCCGCGCGTGGGACCAGCATCGCGACGGATCATTTCGAGCGTTGTCGCCGCTTACAAATGACACATTGCTGTAAAAAATGGCGCGCGGGATATCGCGTGTTCGTACATACGGGTTCGTTTCAGATGCCTCGAGTGCTCATAGAGGAGCGGTGGCGACGGCGACGCTCCTCAGAGAGACCTCGGCATTCGGACTTGTCGCGGGCGAGCGAGCGCGTACGATTTCGAAGGCTGCAGCGCAGCCAGCCGGCCGCGTCGCCTCGCGGATAACCGATTTATTTGGCGCTTCGTCGGAATCCTTGATACTAAAGGATCGGATACGTTAGCGCCGGCCTCGGTTGCGCAATCGAATAGTTCGCACGTTACTCACGATGTCGAATAAGCGCGCGCGCGCACCTCTTTTCGACGCGCGAGGATCT